AACAGCAGTATGTTCTGTGGGCCTGCAGTGTGGACTGGGCTCAGCTGGGGCCTACTTGGCCCTAAATGGCCTCATTCGTGGCTGGGACGGGACAGCATCTCATGGCCGGTGTCCATCAGCCCCCTCCCACAGACACAATGGCCACTGGGGGCTGGTGCCTGCTCTATGGGACAGAGCAGCCAGTGAGGGGTGACAAGTGGCCTGGTTGGGTGTGAGGGCTGGAAGCTTCCCCGAGCCACACCATGGGGCGGGCTGCTGGGCAGGCCTGCCTTGCTGGGTCAGAGTACCACTAAGGGAGGTTGGGACAAGCAGAAGGGAAGGGGCCATTGGGAGTGAGCCCAGCAGGAGGGAGGCTGGCTTGGGAAGGAGGGAACTTAGTAACCACGGGCTGAGGTGGGAGCTGCAGGGCAGAGGCCTAGTCTGGGCAGGACAGAGCTTATAGCCCTGCAAAGAATGGAGGTTAGAGCATGTGGATGGGGATCTGGGGGTGACAGGGGGGGCGGGGGGCTCAGAGCTGGCCAAGGGCTCACCTACTGCCTTGCCTGGTCACAGGATGGAGGAGTTGGGTCTGCACCCCGCTGACCGCCAGGTGTACTTTGGACAGCTGCTGGGCATGTGCGACCAGATCAGCTTCCCGCTGGGTAAGCTGGGCCTCCCTGGGGGTGGGGTGCGGGTGTCGGGGTCAGGACTCACCACCTCTGCCTGTGCGTGCAGGCCAGGCGGGCTTCCCTGTGTACAAGTACGTGCCCTACGGCCCTGTGATGGAGGTGCTGCCCTACCTGTCCCGCCGCGCCCTGGAGAACAACAGTGTCATGAAGGGCGCCCGACGGGAGCGGCAGCTGCTATGGCAGGAGCTCAAGCGGAGGCTCTACACAGGCAACCTCTTCTACCGCCCGGCCTAGCGCCCACGGGCCACCTGCCACCAGACTTGGTTTCCCAGGGCCTCAGGCTGGGGTCTGGCTGGGCCCTAGGCCAGTGCTGCTACAGCCCAGCCGCACGCGGATTCACCTCTCCACACCCAAGACTCTGAGAACGGCTTCCTACCCAGGATGTGGGCACCCA